GAAAGTCTTTTTTTTTATTCATTGAATTTAATAATTGACATGTGTAGAATTTTAATATCACACCCTCTTCATTTTCGTCATTATCGGTATTTCCTTCACCCCCACTTCATTTTCACCTTTATCTTCAATCTCATTACATTCATCAGAATTTTTTGTCTTCGTTTTCATATCACTTATATCTTTATCATTGTTGTTACATTCTACCTTATTGAGATCCTTTACGATTTCTCACATGATTTTAAATGTAAATATGGTTCTTATCAATTTGAAATTAGTGATCCTTTCTAAGTGAATTTTAAAATAGCAAACCTTCATATTGATCATGTTTTTTTTTTTATCCTTGATAAAGATCACGTGTATGTAAAACAGATGGATCCCTTTAAATATCATGAATTTTATGTTATTAAATTGGTAATAAAATATTCGTAATTTATAAATATTGTAATTAACAACTTACATTAAGTAAATTAAAATTACTTGAATAATTGTTTTATTCTTTTCGGGAATTCTAATGTTTTCTAAATGCGCGAGCTAATAGCTTTCATAACATTATTTACATTTTTGTACTGCAACTAATTTAAATAAATTCTATTTATTTTGCGCAATACAGTACATTAATCAAACTAAACTAAAAAAAATTCTTACGACCGAGATTGGGATGCATATTTATCTGCTAAACTATCAATTATAGCCAAAATTGAATGGCGCTTGTTGGGCAGGTCATCGTACGGATCCCAGGAATCTTCTTCCGTCTTGCCCTTTATAATCTGCCGTTTGAGAACTTCAGAATTCCACATAAATGTTTCGGTAAAGTGAAGTACATATATACCACAATCAACATTGTTTTTTTGCTTAGGTGAATTTACCAACGAACAAGGAATCCTTGATGCTCGTTCTATGGTCACTTGTTTTGTGTCCCTTGTGTACTCGAACAAAAAGTTTGTAATAATATGAACAGTACGGTTGTGCTTAAAACTCTCAGCAATAGAGTCGAATATTGCAATATGGCAATCGGCAGTTCTATTTACTTCCAGCGCGGTTGGGTTAATTATCAGAGCCAAATACCAATGTCCACTAAACCAAAAATATATATTAATTATGTTTATAAAAATTGTAAAAAAGTGCACAAAATAAAAAATCTGAAATGCTTGCTGTTCACAGATTGGAATAAAAACATATTGAAAGTCGAAAAGGTCGATTTTCTTTTTCTTGATCCATCTTGACATCTGATCATAAATTTCATTTGATTCTTTCCTATTGAAAAAAAAAAAAGTTCCTTATTATTATATAACGTCAATATAAATCTATAAATATTAAAATACGGATAATATAATTACTTTGCTTCTCGAAGGTCTGACAATTTTTTATAAAAGTATGAATCAAATAAATAGTACTTCTTCGCGCTATCTTCATCGTGTTCACGAAGTTGGTTCAGAGCATATCTATGTTAAACTTAAAAATTAATGTGTATGCTAAAAGAGAAAAATTATAAATATAATATCTTACCTCATATAAAATACAATAAGATTGTCATTTAGCTCATCCATGTCTACTAAACGATTGTAATCTGCTCCAGTGATTAGAACTGATGAATAACCAACACAATAGTAATAAAATAACTCGCTAAGGAGAAATAACAAGATTGTGTAAATAAGTTTATTATATTTATAAAATGAAATTATAAACAATTGAAATTACCTAGTAGGATCTCGTCTTTTAATGCCTCTATCAGGACTACTATCAAGTATTACCACAACAGGATTTATACACCTCGATGTTTTACCTTGTATGTATGTGGGAGAGGTTTCTTTATTATAGATCGAATTAGTCGAAGATCTATATTTCCTCCTAAAACGCATGTCAGTTTCTTCTACTTGATTTGAAAAAGAGTTCATCTTTTGACGCTGACTTGATATTAAACTATTGCGCCTTTTGTTCGGAGAAATTATGAAGTCATCATCGAAAGTTCTAGATGATTTAGGACTATAACTAGATCTACGACTCGAATATGTCACAGTATCTGTTGGAGATTTATATTTTTTCTTAAGACGCGTTCCAGTGAATTTTAATGAAAACTCTGTACTCGACTCGAGATCTATTTCGATATCATTTGCGATATCATTTGCCAAATCCGAAGATGAATCCGATCTCTTAAGATCTAAACTTTTTCTTCTTCTGTTCGCAGAAACTTCGTCATCTGGAATTTTGTAGACATTTTAATACGTTTAAGACAAAGTGATGATCAATATTAATAATATAATTATGATGGACTTTAAACATGTGGAATAACTTTGTCCTTGGCTTTGCAACGCCCATACCCGTTGAATTATTTAAATTGTTTGAATTCATATGTGAAAGTGGTGTTGGATGTAATGCTACATTTGTTGAATTAGATGATGATGGTGATGATGATGATGATGCAATGTTTCTACAAATTTCTTTTCCATTTCCATATCTATAAGTTGGTGGTGATTTTCGACTCAAGAATTGCGTCCTTGACAATGGATTATTGATTTTTCCAGATGGAAGTACATTTCCATCAGAATCAAAATATTTATTAAATAACATTTTAAATTTTTCAATATCCATTGGTTTTATTGCAACACTCCTTTTTGAACTTTTAAAATGATTTATAAATTCCTTGATGTGTGATTAAGGCAAAGTTATAATGAATAAAAATATTGAAGTTGTCGATTCTTTTAAATTATTCAATAGTTACTTTACCTTGAAAGCGGATAAATCACGTGTAACACATAAAATAGGCATCTGCCCGTCATCCGGGGACGGATGGCTTTTATCACGCACAAAAACTTGAGTTTTTGCTCGAATAAGTAACATTGCAAGATCATTTTGGCACTGAAACTCGATATTATCGATGCCTTTTTCTATTTGCATTCTAATAATATGATCGTTTGAGCAAGTGAGATTTACAAAATTATCCGTTGTTGTAATAGCGTGTTGGTGATCGTTGCACCAGACGTGTAATCCAAAGCCGAAACAAGAAAAATCTACAACCACCAAAGGCACGCTTAAGTGCAAAGAATCAGCACTCGTACTCTTCTGTTCAAGACGATTGCTCATCAGCAAATAATACAAGCGTGTGCTTAGCAAATATTTATTGTATGTGAAAACTACGTAGATCTATACAGAAATATTTAACGCGATACTTATGGAATTTATATAAATCTTCGTAATCATCCGCAGTTTTTTTCACGTTCAACCAACCATCCAGCAAACCGAAGATCGTTACACAAATGATTTACGACTAACAACTTTATATTAGCGTTAGTTATACTAATATATAAAATTCACGTATAAACCTACGTACAAAAAAGTTACAGCGCGCTAGTTTTAAATATTTCGTAATACAATAGCTAGAAACGAACGATTTAAATTAAGACGAATCAGAATCTAACGCTAATGGTATAAAAATCATTTTAATTGGAACTTTATTGCCACAAGATATGAGCAACATTAATAACAAATGTGCACTTTGGGCATACACAACCAGTCATAATTATAATTGGCCTTCACTTTTTTTGATTCAATATAACTTAGATGATAGGATTCATCTGAATTTTCGAACAAAAAGAAATTGAAAAATTAAAACAATGTGTCAAATTCACATTACTAACTTGGCCTCGCGTTTTGATGGGTTTTTCTTCACGCACTTTAAAAGTAATTTTGTCATAATAAAGAATCAGATTTATCGATTTATCAGTTTGATTATAAATATTAATAAATATCTAGTTTACAAACCTCTTCCTTTCTAATTTAATTTTGTTGATTGACATAGAGCATAGCATAGTTCATCGCCAACCCTGACTCTCGGAGGTTCTTTCATTCTATTTACCGGCATTAAAAAAAGACATTACGATTAGGATCCTTTCTAAAACTATTTTCAATATTTTCATTTTGGCAATAACGTGTAAGAGCACTCGCGTATCCAACCAATACGTAATCAGTCTGCTACACTACCCAGGGTTGTCAATACGTCACATCATTGTAAATTATTGTAAATTAATTAGCGTTAGATATCAAAATTAATTAGATATTACAATCTAATGTTAACAGTTAAAAAATACATAATTATTATTTAGATAATTAATATGTCACATTGAATTATTATAGCATGAATTAAGTTAATTTTAATGGAAATTATAGTTAATTCCAATCTCATCAAGTTTCGGTAACTGGGAACATATTCTAGTCCTTGAACACACAAAAATTGCTCAATCAAAATTGTTAAACCTAACATCAAAAGCACCCAAAAAATCATTGTCTTGCCTTATTTGCATAATCAATACAACCACTCATTATTCTATTTTTTTTTTTTTTTTTTTTTTTTTTTGTAATCAAAATGCTCTTTAACGACAAATTCGATATTCTCTTGAAAAATTAGTTATATTTTCTATGGCATAGTGGAAATTTGTTTTGATTGATTGATAAAAACTACGAATAACGATAAGTAATTTTTTATTGACTAATTACATGAGTATAGCGAATTTAAAATAAGATATTAAAGAATGAACAAATATAATAACAATATCTTTTACTCAATGGATAAGATATATTATTTCGAACTAATAAGATTTTAAACGTTGATATGAGTATGAGAAATAATTTGATCACAAAAGTGTTGATACGAGCTCAAACATTTAGTTTATTAAATGATGATGAGAATCATTAGAGTAATTGATATGAATAAGTATGAACGTTGGATTGGTAGAATTCAGAAATGTAAATATTTTTTTTTTTTTTGTATGAATGAGATTAATTATTTTTATCTTCTGTCATATGAATAAATAATCAGTGAATTGTAAAGAAGTGAGGAAAAGTATGGAAGAATTATTGAATAAACGTAGGTGTAGGTGGTCATCATGACAATATGAACAAAATGAATAATGAAGAAATAGATGGGAGATTTATTTATAGTACTTCTATAGAAATTTGCAACGATTATGATTGCAAGACGAATATTTTTTTTGATATTTTTTACTGAGAAGGTGGAAAGTATTAACGAAACCAAGTAATTTAAATGTGTTGCTTTGTTCAGAGAGATTCAAAGATATGTCACGCACGGTCACCCTTTTCAACCCTTAAAATCAGAGTTAAAAAGGATGAACGTGCGTGACACTCCTTTGTTTAAAGGTTATCGAGTAAGCTGGATTTTTTTAAAAATGACTGTTCCCAGATAATTAATATTCTTTTGCCGTTAGGTACTATACACAGGAAAAAGTGAACAAGATATAAAAATAAATAAATAAAGTACCGTACCGCAGTGTTATCGCTGAAGGTCACTGGAAGGTTATTGGAAGGCCACTACTAGTAATCTACTAAAATCAAAATTGACAATGCCACATTAACCATTACAAAATCTAATTTGAAAGCCAGAAATTCCCACTAAAAAAATAAAAATTAACACTGACCGTACCCAACGGTTGATTTAAGGTACAAATTAGTCCAATTAATCTATTTTGATTCAAATAAACCTTATCCAAGTTCAAGCTTTAAACTTCAGCTGCGTTTAAATACTTTAGATATAAAATTAGAAAATTGGCAGTCCAATGACCAAAAAATGTTTTGGCTGAAAAAATTGCCACCATTACTTATATACCATATCCAAAAATAACACATTGACATTAAATATATACTATTGTAAACAAAAGAGTAATACTCTTATGAGGTATACAAATTTATCTTTATGGATACCAGATACAGTATTTTTTATCTGATACGTTCAATATCAGATATATATATATATGATAATATATCATGTACGTGCGTCGTACCTGGTACACAAAAACTATTAGGTATGTACAGTTACGTACTTATCTGATATCAATACATCGATATCTTCCCCAGTATCGCCACCAAAAAGTTAGTCATATAACAAACGAAGAAAACTTCAAGTTTATTTACGTTAAGGTTAGGACTTATATATTAGGTTAGAATTAGGGTTAGTGAGATATATAAGAAAATCGCTCAAGGAAAACTTTAGTTAGAGCACAAAAGATGGTTTCTTATCCCAGATTTGAGAAATAAGCAACTGATCGTATAACGTTACACCTGATCTTGAATTTGATTTGTTTAAGATCACATGACTGTAACTTTTTGGTGCTCAACCGCAACACGCATGTTATGCATCATCGAAAACCGTGAAGATACCTTGGAAAAACATGAAATATATTCCTTTGCTCAAAGTTTGAAAAAGCCTAAAATTAATTCATTTTTTTTTTCAACAGTTAAATTTGATCTTTTTGATATTATCGCATAAGGTTATTTTTTTCTAAACTTAAGAATTCGAAAATAAATTCTGTTTATTCGTAAAATAAAGTACCCAAAGTAAAGTTTTATATATAGAGTTGGTGGTGCAATTATAATTCTAGTGGTGCACCACTGGTGGCTAGTGAAACTCTCTGGTGCATGGCGCGCCATCAGGGTGCACCAATAATATTATATAGCTAGCTAGCAGCTTAATATGTATATTTATTTTACTTCCAAGGATATAAAATCACACCTACTACACCTTATATTGACCTAAACTTATGTTTCAGACGTTTTCGGAATTTTCTTTCACTTTTAACTCGTATTTTTTTGTTCATTCACTGTCTTCATCAGGAACTTTCGGATCAGTTAATTAGCTTATCATTACAGTTAGGCCGTTTGAATTTAAAATTCGTTTAACGTCCCCCTACTACTGGAGCGCCCTGACATTAAACAAGCCAATAGAAAACGAGTATAAAAATATAAATCAAAAAAAAAAATCCCCCGGGTACAATTTGAACCTAATTTGGGTCTATTTAATTCCCTCTCCCTTAAAGCAAATATGAAAAAAGGAACGTTAAACAAATCTTTAAATTCAAACGGCCTTGTCTTAATGTGATAAGTCACTATTAAATCATAGCCAAAACTGATTATATTCTTTAGAAGTCAACTGAATGTCCCGTCTGTCTTTCTAATCTGAAGTAAACTTAATCATGATTGGCTCGCCACTTCTGCACCATCCTGTGCTATCATGCCAGCTGGTGCATCATTGGCGTCACCAAGTACCCTGCACCACCAACTAAATTTGGGGGTCGTCTAATGCCATGTATTCATGTGACTTTTTTGTGTCGATTGACCAATCAAAATTGTGAAATTTTGTTTATACGAATTAGTCTGACAAAGTAAAAAAATGAATGAAAAGTTAAAAAACATTAAAAATATCAAAAACAGTAGTCTAAACTTGTCTTGGGATATTAATAAAAAAATGTTAGAAAGGCAATTTTATTATATATAAATTCTATTTCTAACTCTAACTCTAATATTAAACTTTTCTTAATTTTAATTTTAATAAATAGTAAATATCATATAGTAGAGATCTGCATATCTAGCATATGTTCATGTCTAAAAAATAACTTAAAGCATAAGTATAGGCACAGACACAGACATCTTATATCTGATTTAAAAATATTAAGTATTTTTTTTTTGATACTAGCACTAGTGTCTGGTACTAGTATAATATTTATTCTGAAAAATATTATAGTAGCTAATTAAATTACAAGAACAGTATATATAGAAAAAGATAATATTTTGATTGCTATGCAAAATTGTTTGTATTACTATTCATATTGTAGTTATGCAAATATATAAATAGAAACTATACATTAATAATGATAATTAATAATGATAAATAATAATGATAATGATCAAAGTATTAAAAAACTATTTTTTTTTTAATCTTTCAGCAGGTTATGTCAACACTTTATTTGTATAATGTCTTTAACAAAAGATTAATTAAAATACATAGTTATATATCTAATCTACAATTTTTTAAGTATTAACTTATCTAGTTACCCTATAGGTACCTATATGCAATCTGCTATAGTAATCTTTTTTCTTCTCATTAATATTTAAACATTCAAAAAAATATTAATAATTTGAGTAGACATCACAGCTCATTATAACTCTTGCCTATACAATAGACTACTACCAAACTGATAATAGTTTTTTGTATAGTAAAAAGGTATAAAAAAATAAAAATTATATATAATGATAGATACTAAGGCCATATGTCATATAATAAAACTATAAAGAAA